GTAAGACCCCCCCGGAGGTCGAAGTTAATCTTAAATGTTTCCATTTTATGCTTTGTAAGTTTGTTTCGTAACGGAAGAAATTTAAATATATTTATAAAGCTGACAAGTCAAGTCAAGCAATCTGATTGGTCGATAGCGTTTTTGCGGACCTCTTTGATTACAGATTTGAAACATCGTTGCTTGCTTTAAAAGTAGCACAATTCATTATGTTAAACCTTCAAAGGTATCTAGATATCCCTGCCCTAATGGCAAAGGAACTGCACACTGAATATGTTTTGCCGTTTGATGTCTATGTCTGGACCGCTGCATAAAAAGGAGGGTTTCTGCCCCGTTACTTCTCTCCTGCTTTCTTGTTCCAGTAAGCAAACAGCCCAACGGTATACTGTTTTTCTCAGACGCGGAGGGATACTGACTTGTTGTGAAAAGTAACTTACAATTCTACCCGTGGTATACGCTCAGTATATCACGGCTAAGAACCAATCAGATTGCTTGATTTGACTTGTCCGTTTTATAAACAGTGATAGATGTTAAGGACTAACGTTTATAATAAATACTTTTGTATTGATTTTAAGATCTTTTCATAGTTCATACAATCATACGTATTGGGATCATTTGTATTAATGTGGACCGGAGGGAGAGGGTGACAAGCAGAAGTTTCACTTTCATTTTTTATTTCAATTCCAACTTTGGTCATGAAGAATATGTTTCTCTGTTGTTCATTAAATAACAGCATCAGAGCACGGTGCAGAGTCTCTAGATGAGTCCCTCGTTCTTATTAAACATCCATGTTGTAGTCCGTTGTATAGAAAACTGTAGTTTCCATAGTTTCCCCACAGCAGCAGACGCACAAAATGACGTCCGCTGGCGCATCATAAACACGTCGGATAGTGAAAGTGCAGTCGGATTCTCTAAAGTAAAGTAAAGACTAAAGTCTCTTCTCCTAAATCCTTTTGAATTCTCCTATCCACTATCCCTTAACCCTGTGATGTTTCAGTCAGAGGTCAAGGAATAGACGATAGGGTTAGAATGTAGGAGCTGATTTTTGGATTATCCGACCGCAGCCCTGTCAGACGAACAGCTGTGCGGTCGCTTCACGTGACGCTCTGGAGGAAAGGACGTGCCATTGCTCTTAAAACTAATTTCCCTGCTTCTCGTGGTGTCCTTGCGTTTCTCCATGCTTCCCTGGTGGGAGGGACTAGACGCAGGGAAACGACGCAAGTGAGGGACGCAAGGATTCCATTTAATCGACCTGAGAGGGACCCTTGTTCTTGCTTGCTGCATGAATGCTGTTTTATAATGGCATCAGACATCCATTATTACATTTTTCGGGGTTTTTCAGAAATATTAAATAACTTGTCCTAAAACTAAATTAATGTTTGAGAATGTTTTGTAATTTTAAGCAGCAAACTTGATGTCAAATGAGACCTTGCGGGAATTCTTTGAAGTGGAATGAACAAAAAACAGTAGAGAGCAGCAAGGTTTGATGAATGCCTTGATGGAGGCATTCTTCTCTTCCTTTCTTCTTCCTTTCTTCTTCCCTCCCTCTTTCTTTCCAACCCCCAATAAAAAAACTCAGACCCCGTTGGATGGTTTTCTATCTTTGGGGGGAGAGCTTTACACAAACAGCCAGAGCCAATAGAGAGCACTCTGTATTGAGCGCTCAGTTCTTTCAAATGCTGCGTTTTAATAGCTTTCACAAACATCATCAAGAATCCTCTGCCAGCAATAATGGACCTCTTTTCAATTGCTGGCTCATACTTATCCCCAAGTGACACTGCCTGGTCATTTGGACATCCTAGATAATATTATCTCTGCTGCCCATGCAATCATTATATTTCTACAGCACACACTGTGAATGATCAGTAAATACACACACACACACCTTGAGCAGGATGCATGCACGCTCAGACCTGCAGAAGTGCTGTAATTAAAGATGTTGCACACACTGTACACAAACCCACACTCAAGTGTATTTGTGCAGATAATGAATAACTCACAGGTATAGCAGCCATTTTCCACTAGGATGGGTCATGATCTTAGGCGGATCAATTTACTGACTTCCACCAAAGTTATCACAAAGGTGAAGTTACTGAAATATTTTTTATTCTCGGTGTAGGAGGTAAGAAGTATACAACAATTTCAATTCAGCTATTGGAGTGTATGGGTAATTCTTATAATGAAAAAGAGAAATTAGAGAATAACAACATTATTCAATTGTGTAAAGTAATTTAGCACTCCACTCTATCAGTCACAAGAGTAAATTAGCACAGCTTTGACTGCAACCTTAACACTTTTGAATACATAACACCATTATCTCGCAGTAAAATCACCCGAACCAGTTTAGTTCACCTCAGTGGCAGAAATAAGTCTGGGTGTTAATGCATGTTTCATTTATGAGATGAAGAAACAATAAACTAAACTTATTAATTGACAATCCGACTTAGGATGTTGTAATTGGTGGATATTTTAAGGAAAGCCTTTGAGCAAAACTGTTTCTTGACTTCACCTGTTTTCACTTCACTTTCACAGAAAAAATACTTTATCTCTTTTTGAAAATATTCTCCAGCAGGGTTTATTTTGTTAAATTATATGTTGTATGTTTTCTAGTCCACATTGCAGCTTTGTGATTTGCCACACTCTGTGACTCAGTGGAAAAAGAGAGAGTCAGACGAAGAGCTTGAACAAACAGATGGCTGGATGAAGCAATTTTGCTGAACCGACCAAAAACACAACATTACACGATATAATTGCAGCCATTACATTAGACCGCTAAACTCCAGGTTTCCCTTGCAGATTTGACTGATGCCTGAGGGGAGGCAGTTGGGATGGAAACTGTGAAACTCATCTACAAAGGCTTATTGTGTGCGTCATTTGTGCTGTGATTGAATGTAAACCTTTTTTTTTTCAAACAAATAGCAGAAACCTAAAATGACATCTCTCAGTTTAATTACACATTGACAAACGATAATCAGTAACACACATGTTGTTAACCAAATGTCTCTGTTCTGCCTCTGAATTAATCCTTATTTACACAAACATTTTATATGTTCTTTATTATGGGTACGTTATTTTAAAATGGTGATATGCATATATTCCTGGGACAACTCATAGACTTTATATTTCTAAACAATAATATGCCAATCTAACTCGGTGGTGAGTGTCAGGCTAATGGAGCTACTGTTAGCTTCACTAGCTACTGTAGCTAGCATCCGATAAAATCTGAACAAATGTCCTTTCAGTATGAGCACATTAACAGGTTCAAAGAGTATGTAGTTACTGGGAATTCAAAAATAAAAGCTGCATGTTTGATTTTGAAAGAATTAAAAAAACAGTGACTCTTCAGTGTCTGAAACCTTAGTTCTC